AAAATAAAAAGCAAAATAAAAAATACCATAAAATAAATAAATGTGCAAATAAATTATTGCAAGAATGATTCATTCATCATGATCAAATAATAAAATATACCATTAAATTATAAAAACACACAATCAAATAACTAATCATTGACAGCAAAACATATATCTGCCTTTTAAATTATGACATAAATAAATGTAATTTAAAAATACATTTTAATACTACATGTTAAATACAGGGTTAATATTTTTTCTACATATATCTTAAGGGGGCTGTTACTCTGGCATGGTTTTTTGGGGATCACAACCTAGATTGTTTTGGAACCACATCATCTTTTCTGGCTTATTGTTTCAGACTTATAATCAATCTAGAAATAGGGCTCAAGTGTAAAATATTTGTTAGAAATCTGAAAGCGTTCTACTTTCAACAATTAGAACTTATATGCATATCAGATTTCCCAAAAAGGCAGTAACAGTAACTGTAATTTTGGCTTCCCTCTTAGCTATGGGCCCTAAAACATATGGAGGGATTTACTGAGTTTCTCTGAAGCTGACAGCTGTGATATCCATCCTACTCCTTCTGTGAATAAAGCTTAAAGGTATAGTGAAGGATGTTATTTTTCCGGGTGGATCATCAAAATAAGTGGTCCTCCTAATTGTCAGTCATTCTGTTGATATGTTTACGTAAGGCCGTCCTACCGTTGGTGAGTGTGATTTAGTGGAAAAATAAAAAATCTTCTTTTGGAAAGTAAGATCGTATGAGCGATGCAAAGAGCAACTTTTAAACAGAGTGTACACGCCTCGCACGCGTTTAATAGGTGTTACCTTTCGGGAGCGTGTACAGGGTTGTGCATGTGCATTTTTTATTTTTTTATGGAGTGGGCGGTCTTTTCAAAGATTCACTTAAATCCTCCACTAAACATTTAATCTTAATTAAAAGAGATAGCCACAGGTTTATCTCCTCCCATCCAGTAGGTTGTGCCCTCACACACACTGCTTCTGTACCGTTTGCCAGCAGATTGCTGCTAATTGTTAACATTCACAAACATTTCCTTAACTCTTCAAGAAAAAAAAAGCAACAACCTTCGTTTGGCTTCTGAGTCCTTTTGCATCAAATAACAGCAACGCCCCAAAAGCTTAAAAGATGTTAAATTTAGTTTTGCTTCTTGTCTTATGTTGGCTTGCATCTGAGAAATGTAGCAATGACATTAAGGCCTTTCTCAGAGCTAGGCTAGGGTCTCAAATTACTCCAACCTTCTAATCCTATTGTTGAGGTTGCCATCATAATCAAATATAATATATTTCAGACCGGTTTAAATTTGGAAAAACAATTATATATATATGCTGCATTTTTCTCAATAACAATAACTTATTCTACATTTAAAAGTTCTCCAGATGTATTATTTTTTAAACGTATTGTTTTGATGAAAATGTATAGCATTCACCTGTAAAATCAGAGGTGAAGAATTTTCTGGATTCCCTCTTTGGGTCTTTATGCCTGTCTAACTAATTATCTGTATTAAAATTGTTTCTATTATTATGTAAAATTAAATTACTTCCAGCCAACATACATTTTTATGAAGAAATAAAAGCATACATTTTATCACAGAAAACACAATAAGCAATGATTTACTGTCTGATCTGTGGTAGTTTTTTTTTTTTCCCCGTTTTGCACTTCCTTGAAGTGGATAAGAAGAGAGCAACATAAAGACGTACCACTGAGAGGTGAAATCCACAAAGTCCGGCGAGAACTGGTCGGCAGGAAGCTGGGGCGAAGGTTCTTCCACCACCTGCTTCAGTTGCTGAAAGGGCGTTCCCCATGAGTCGTAGGGGAAGCGCAGGATGGCGAGCTCGATCTGCACACACACACACGCACACACACAACCATGTTTGTTCTGCTATATGTAGTGAGGACCATGTGTTGATTCCCATTGATTTAATTGATTCTTAGTCATTTTCAACCCTTTCTATGCCCTAACCCTAAACCTAACCATTACCAATGCATACGTCACCCTAACCCAATAGACACCTTAGCCCTAAACCTAAACATTAGCAAAAGACCTTATGAGGACCAGCAAAATATCCACACTTTACAACAACTGGTTCTCATTTTGATTGTGAAGTTGAAAAAAATGGTCCTCATTCTGATGCCTAGACTGTAACGCCCCCACCTCAAAATGATGGAAATATTTAAAAAATTGTTAGTGTCAGAGGCGGTAAAAACTGCCTACCATCAAGTCTAAATGTCCAACAAAAAATGAAACAAATAAAAAGCCTGATCAGCAGGTCTCTTTCCTGGTCTTGTCTTATTTTCAAGCTCCAAGAAACACTTTAAACATTGAAAACAGGCCATGCAAACTTCTCTACTAAAGCTGCTGAAGATTTTAATTTAGCAGTGATATCTTTAACAACGTAAAACATTTTGCATGTATCATTTCCTTCAAAGGATAATACATACTAAGAAACATTTGCTGACAAAGCTTCACTGGTGCAGTGACGCTTATCACCTGATGTAATTAAGGAAAGCAACGTCTTTGACGCTAAACTCTTCAGATTTTAAAAGGTGTTTAAAACTTTTGACAATTTTGCTGTTAGTGTCATGCTTCAAAGAAACTCTAGCTCACTTTGGACAATTAAAGTCAAGCTGAGATAAACAAATGAAGAGAAATAAATGTACGTGAGAGGCCTTACCATTGTGATCCCTAAACTCCAGATGTCGGATTTGACGTTATATCCTTTCTGGTTCGTCTCGGGGTTGATCCTCTCCGGCTGAGGTAGCAGAAATTAAAAGATCACAACAGTTACACATAAAACCGCAATTCCAGTCTTACACCAACTCAGAGGAAACCGTATATTGTTTATGATTTTCATTTAAAAAGGTTCATCAAGCTGACTTAAATACTGCTAAGCATTTACCCTATCTCTCTTCATGCCATTGTTCTTTTCTTTGCTTAAAAGTTTGCTAAAACTGCACAAACAGACAGCATTGTTGATCTGTTTTAAAGATAAAAATACAGAGCAGGGTGCCTCTCCTATTCATGGGAAGGATGCTTCTTACAGCCATGTAGGGTTTGCAGCCAGCGTCCATGGTTTTAGCCACAGAGTCCACCAGGTAGCCGCTGATACCGAAGTCGCACATCTTCACCTGGCCCTGAGTGTTGATGAGGACATTAGAGGGCTTCACATCTACAGAAACAACGGAGACAAAAGAGGTTTGATCCATCAAAAAACAGAGAACCAGACTTATCCTGCGGCCCGTACCGATAAAAAGTATTATGAATAGTAGCAGTATAGACAAATCAAATGCATATCAGTGTGCACTAGGTAATATCTCAAAAGAAAAAGGCCAACTAGAAACCCACATTTTGTTGACTATTATAGTCCAAGTGACAGAAATGTTAGAAAATTAAGAATTTAGGAATGAAAGTCAAGGATGTTATTCAGGTGACAAGAGACACAAACTTTTCTTTAATTTTAAGCTAATTATAAATCTATGTTTGTGCAGTAGAGCAGAGGCTCCTAGACTTTTCAGCTCATGACCCAAACTACTGGTTTAGTGTTTAAATATTTCAACAAAAAAAGCTTAACTACGAGTGTAATAATATTTTTCAAAAAGCATAAATAACCAAAGTACTTGGTTTTATAAATTTTTAAGTGATGCTTTTATACCATTAAGCCATCTAACATACAAGTTTAATATTTTCTGGATCTCAATACCCCAAAGGGGTTGATCACGGCCGGCAACTTTAGGAATCATTGCATTCGTCTTACACCAGTCTGAACAATGTGTTGTCATTAATAATAGTTCATCTGTATTCCGTAAAATAGTAACAGGGATCCCACAAGGAACTATCTTAGATCCGGTCCTCTTTAGTGTGCATGTTAAGAGTTTTCCTGAAATTTGTCCTGAAGTTAACTTGCAAATGTACAGTATGCTGATGACACCATTGTTTATACATCAGACAAGAACAGTATTTGTAGTCAGTGAAAAACTTCCATTACCATGGCTAAATGATTCTTGCTTGACTTTCAATACCAAGAAAACGAATTGTTTGCTTTTTAATCAAGAAAATGTCATTACAGTCCTTGAATATCCGGATCAATGGGGTCCCTATTAAGCTACTATCACAAGAAAATTTTGAAATAATTCTGGAAGCTCAGTTAAATTTTAGGAGCCATGTTGATAAGCTCTGCAAAACTGTTAGATCAAATATTAAGTGTTTAAAATAATTAGAAACTGTTTAACACTTCTCTTTGCTGAGCTGTTTTTGAACTCTCAAACCGTTAGCTAGTCTTTATAATGGGGATTTAAAGGTTTTATGTGAAAAGCCAATCAGATTCCAGCACTGTCACATTTTGGCTAAATTTATCATTTCCCACTTTTCTAATTTTCCAAATTACAACCTTTCAAAATTTATTTTTCAGTGTTTAATGGATATGCACCTACACCATTAAGCAATTGCATACAGAGATTGCAGGGCAATAGAAAATCCACTAGAGTAGCTTCCAAAGGAAATTGTAATGTAATGTCCCCTTTCGAAGAACCACTGCAGTCTGCAGTTTGGAATTCACTTCCTGTTCCTGTTTTTAGTATGTTCAAAACACAAAACTCTGGTTGTGTAAAAAACAGAACTGTATCCATTTTTGATGTTTTTATGTTTCACTATTTGTTTGTAGATGTTGTCAATAGCTATTTTAAATGACTATGACTTTCATTTTTAGAGGTACTTTTTTTAAAAGCCCATCTAGGGACAAGTGCTGCGAATTAGCCATTGCTATTGCACCATGACGCAAACATGAGACTGCTGTTTTTTTCAGTTTGTTTATGTTGAAGTGTGTGTCCCTATCAAATAAACTTTAAATTAAATGAAACCATGCCCAACTACTTTCTTCCCTGCAAACAGACAGACTTTTCAGGAATCTTTCAGCAAATCTCAGTCAGACCTTCAATTATTTCTGAGGGTCTTTGATAGATTTTTTACAGCTGAGCAAAGTTCCCCCTAGTAGTAAGAAAGGTGCTGCTTGGCCTTTTAATCCTTACCCATTTAACTGAACTATAGTCTCTCCTTACAAGTTTAAAAGGTC